CAGATTTCTACTTTCTATTTCTACTTACACACCTAAATTTCTACTCACACACCTAAAGAACTCAGACACTTCTAACTAAAGAATTATCTGAATATCTACCTCCCTGGACTGGCCTCCTGCTTTCCCTGTACTAGTTAATGCCATTATCCTCTGCTTATTTACCTGAGTTAGAAACTGAAGAGTCACCCTTGTTTCCTCCTGCCTCCTCCACATCCTGTGCCCCTTAGTCACCGAGCCTTGCCAATCCCACCTCCTAGCATGGCTGAAACCCACCCTTCCTTTCTCCCAAGACCTTATTCAAAAATTTTTAATGGTAACCACTAAAAGAACAACCTCTCAAAAAATAATCTTCTAGATTAACACATGTGCAAAGCACACATTAAAAAATATCCAAAAGAGAATACAATGAAAATGCATTTTCCCTTCTTATCTGTCCAGGCTTGTATACCTTCCATAGATAGTCTATGACTTGATCTCACGATCCATGAGATCATGACCTGAGCTGAAATCATGAGTCAGACACCTAACTGACTGAGGCACGTGGGTGCCCCTCTTTTTTTTTTTTTTTTAAAGTTAGATATTCTTGTTATTGCTTTATTTCTTATTCTGTGTGTTATAAGCTTGTAAAAAGGCACTGGAGTACTTAAAATGAAGAGTAACTTAGAAAGAAAAGTTGTATATTTTTCAAAGATGCTATTCCAAAAAAGGGAAGAGGAAAAAAAAATGGACAGTTTTTCAAAATTTTATGCTAAATCAGATAATCATTTTATATTAGCTACACACACACACACACACACACACACACAGTGGTAGGAAGCCCCAGTGTTTGAGAAAACTATATTGAAAAAAAGTTAATGGGAAAAAACCCTAAGCCCCTTCATGCCCTGCTAAATTAGAAAGCATCACCATTCATGTATTTTAGCAATAGATACACTGGTCCAGGTTTTTCTGGAGCACAGTTTTGATGTACCACCTTGACCTCAAAAATAGAGTCAATTATGTTACATCCCTTAGCTGTCCCTGCTTATAAGATTAAATCCAAACTCTTTATCATGGGACTGGTGCCATTCAAAATTAGCCTTTTATAACCAGCCTTACCTGCTGACATTCCCAACCCCACGTTCTTGTTCTGCCATTGTTCAAACATACTAACAGTATACTCTCAAGGATCTATACCCTTGCACAAACTATTTTCAGAAATGCTCTTTTCCTAAACTCTGGTGCAGCTCTTTTCGACCTTCAAGGTGTCACTCAAGTATTACCTCTTATATGAGGCCATCACCCTGAATTCCCAGGCAAAGTGACTTACTGTTCCTCTTTGTTCCCACAATATCTTACGAGGTGGTACTTATCACACTGGATTTTAACTCTTGGTCTACACAAACTCTTCCTGAGGTCACGTGCTATACTCTACTCTTCTTCAAAAATGTCCAAATTATGGTAAAGTCTGACAACACAGGGAACTAAAAATTGCTATTCAATAAATAAACAAATATAGCTTAATAACTGGCTAGTTAGGAATCAGTGCTATCCTTCTAACTCTTTCCCTTAATTTCAACTGTATCAAATTGGTCTTACTGTGAAAACCACCAAAATAATTCAGTTTTCTAACAACAGAGTAAACTCCTTTGGGAATTCAAACCCCTATGGCTCTTTGTATTCCCAGAGCACACTCTGCATCGAACAAGTATGCTGCTGAATGTGAAATAAGCTCCTATATCCATTCCTTCCTTTCAGGTTTGCCTGAAGGAGGGGATGCACAAGGAAGGCACTAGTGGGATAGGACAAAGACCCCCAGGTTTCTTTTCGATGGGGAAGTGTAAACTCTCTTTTAAAGTTCCTTTTTATTCTGGAACAAGTTTCTCTGTATAGACAATGATTTAAAAACAAACAAACAAAAAAGCTTTTCTCAAGTTACTTCTCTACAGGACTACTGGGGGAGGGGAAAAAAAGAACCTTAAATTATTCTTCAGACCTGAATTGCAATAATCGGACTTCTGGGCAGAATTCATGAAACCTTTATATGGTGAAATGGTGTGAACGCTAATTTCAGAGATTCTACTGGACTGGCACATATAGCTACAAAAACTCCCCCATCTCAAGAGGTGCTGACCTCAGGGCGCCTGGGTGGCACATTCAGTTAAGCATCTGACTCCTGATTTCAGCTCAGGTCATGATCTCAGGGTGGTGAAATCAATCCCCGCATCAGGCTCCGTGATCAGCCCAGAGTCTGCTTAAGACTCTCTCTCCCTTTCCCTCTGCCCCTCCGCTCCATGCTCTCTCTTGCTAAAATAAATAAATAAATCTTCCCAAAAAAGCTGACCTAAGTAACTTTGGAAATGAGTAGACATCTTTAAGACTAAAGGTAAAAGAAACTGAATAAAAGCACTATATTCTAGTTAATAAAGTTGTTTCCTTCCCAGGTACAGGTTAACAATTCGGACACCACTACACACGTATGCTGAAATGTACACAATTAAGTGAGTGGATGGCAGACAGTGAGACCCAGGTGTCTCACTGCTGGAGTATGGAGTTTCACATAACCAAGGGGAGGAATGATCCATGAATGAATTCCATCATCCATGGAATGATCCATGTGGTAATGGCTTACAGATAATGGAGATATCAGTATAAACTCATGTTTTAACCTAACATACACAAACATAGTATTACACCCAGCAATATTATTATTTATGTATAAAGTTAGCATGAACTCTTTATTTTTTGCTTGTCAGCTGACAGGACCTATAAAAAAATGACATTCCAGTAGCAACGAGCATATCTAATGTCTAGATCTTAGAATCTAATATCATTCTCCAATGAAAGAACAGGGTTCCATTCAGCAATGGCTGATTCTATGACTGGTAGGAGATATAAAAGACAATATACAAGTCTGGAGTATCTTATAGTGTCAGAAAGTAAGAAGTATTAAAAACACATATACCCATACCATGCTGATAGGGGCATATTAGAGAAACACAGAAGCGAGCAAAATGAGCTCCAGGGCTTCCATGGCCAAAGCTGGAACAGCTTCAGCACTACTGACTGACTGAATCAAAAAATGAACAGATGAGGGGAAAGAGATGAATCTCTCACACAGAAGAATTCCAAATACTTTATGTAGATAGAGATACCATGCTCCAAGGAAGGTGAATAGAACTCTCTACTCCTTAGGTGTGGACTACAGCTAGTGAATTCCTTCCTAAGTTACAGTAATGGGGAAATAAAGAGTAACTTCACGGTGGAGAAACCTGACAAACATATGTACCCTGGTATGATGTGATGGAAACAGCACTTTATCTCTGGGATCTTTCTTCGGAAAACCATAACTCTAGTAATCATGTGAAAAACATCAAACAAATTTGAATAGGGAGCATTCTATAAAATACCTGGACACTATCCCTCAAAACTGTCAAGGTTTTCAAAAATAAAGTCTGAAAAAATTGAGAGGAGCCCTAAGGAGACATGATAACTAGATATAATATCGTCCTCAAACAGAAAAAAGACATTAGATAAAACCTAAGGAAATAAATAAGACTATGGACTTTAGGTAATAATAATACATCAATATTGATTTGTGAACTATAACAAATTCACCATACTAATGTAAGATGCTATTAATAGGGCAAAGTGTGTGCAGGTTATATGGGAATTCTCTGTACTCATCCCGGTTTTTCTGTAAATCTAAATATGTTCTGAAAAATAAAATCGATTTAAAAAAATTTCCCCAACTCTCAACTCTTCAGACACGAAGTTAAAAATTATAGAAAAAAGGAATAAGCATGTTTTTAATTTCTCTACATCTTCTGCTAAGGCAGTTCAAACACGTGGAGTCCCTATTCTGTTTCAGGATGAGGACCTTGGTTCCAGCAATGTAAGGAGGGTATAAGAGATCTAAGAGAATTAACTGCAGTAAGAACATAAAGAGGATTTTATCAACAAACTGCTGAACACCACCAGGGGTATAAAGCTCACACTGGTCTTTCCTTCCCACATCTGGTCAGTCTCTAGTTCCTCGCATAGGAAAACATTCAGATCTGGCTGCTCACATGAATGGAAGGCCAGGAAGAAAGGCATCTGAGGCCTGGATCCAGTCCGCCACATGTAACCACTGACCAGCTGGCTTATTTGGTGATGGAGCCACGTATCACGGGTAAAACCAGCAGGGTACCTTGGTCTTTAGTGGAAGGCAGAAGTGGCATGTATGACATGTTCATCAGGCAAAACCCAAACACCTCCAAGGCCTCTGGTTCCAGATCACTGGTTCACTACCCTTCTTCTACAGCATAGAATCTACCTCCGATCTAAACCACAAATCAAAAATCAAAGCAGAATTGTGTACAAAAACAGAAACTAAGAGATCTTAAAAGCAATATTAGAAAAGCTGAAGGGTTGAAGGAATGAGAGCAAGGGGTATCCAAGATAAAATCTAGGTCATCGGCCTGACTCTAGGACAGGACAGAGGGTGACTGGCAGGCCCTGCCCCAGTCATGGATAGACTGTCTTTCACAGACACCCTTCCTCCTCTAATTTTACATTTACTATCAGCAGGCAAACTCCCAGTAACACTAGCTCAAGGAAGCTTCCCTTTAAAAAGAAATGTCTACATTGGGGAAGGTATGTGCTATGGTAAGTACTGTGAAGTGTGTAAACCTGGTGATTCACAGACCTGCACCCCTGGGGCTAATAATACATTATATGTTAATAAAAAATAAAAAAATTAAAATTGAAAAAAAAAAAAGAAATTTCTCAAAGTACAAGAGTCTCCTATGAGACTCTTAGAAAAAAATGAGTTTAGAAAAAAACAAGTCCATTTTGCACAATCACTCTTAGATGCTGTATATCAAAGTTCTAGATCTTCAGACACGTGAGAGAACCTTAGAATGTGGAGAGGGGAAAAAACCTGGAAGATGAGGCCTGTCTTCTGTTTTCCACCTACCTCCCCATCATGGACGAGAGTTCACCCTACCAGCTAAACCAATGAAGGGAAGTACAAGTACCTGATCTGGCAATGCCACTGTCCCGGTCTTCATTTTGTCCTCTGCTTGGCATGTCAACCGGAGTGCTATGCGCTGAGATAAAGGCAAAAGGTAAACATGTTACTGAAATGCCCAAAGAACGAGCCGTTCAAAAGCGACTGTAGTCCTTTTCACATTTCAAGGTAGGCTACTGCTACTGATGACTGACCTACGTTTATAGAAAGATTAACCACAAAGCAAAATTAAATATGTAGAAAACAAGTGAAAAGAAGATAGAGTCAAGTAACTACCTGCTTTTATCCTGTTGTTAATACAAACACTTTTTGGAGTGGTGCTTATTTCTAAAACAAACTGCCATAATAAACTATTTGTGCAGTTGACACAATGAACAAACATTCTCAGGCAGATATTTTCAGCCCCTTTCCTCATTATCAGTAATACTTAAATAGCACTGTATTTTCAAAATGCTTTATAATCAGTTTCATTAGTGCCTGTAGGCAACTTGAGGGAACAGAAATTCTTGAATACCATTTTGTAAATTTAAAAAATGTTTGTTTATAACCCACTCTCCTGGCAGATAAAAAAAAAAAACACATACCCATTTTCAAATACTTCTTCCTCCACTTATTTTCCATATATTCCCAGCATTACTGTAGTTACTGAGAAAACTCATATCCTGGCATGAATTTTAGAAAACACACTAAAGTACTATAGACTTCAGATTCACCTAAACTGTACACTCACTGAGCTGCGGGGTAGATGGCATGTTGCTATAGCAAGCTTTACAATGTACAAGAAGCCCAGTGCCCTGCCTGATTATTAGACTTGCCAGCTATTTTTGAAGCATGCTTATTTTCATAGTTTTAAAAAGAGCATATAAACATCTTATCCTCACTCTAAGTAGGTGGGACGGTGTCAGTTTCATGGTGCTTAGCATATTTCCGGCTACGAAGAAGAACAGAATGAAGAACACCATTTGCCATAAACGTAACCTTTCATGTTAGTAGTGAAGATTCCCCACACTTGTTAATCATGCCAGACTACAGCAGACATTCCACAGCCTTAGCTAGCAAGGTCAGTTAAATCTCAGAATTTACCTACTCAGAGAGACCGAGATGATTATACCTGTAAAGAACCTAGAAACTGTGTTTAAACTGCTTAAATGCTAGAGAGAGAGAGAGAGAGAGAGACAGATGAGGAAGAAAAGAGAAAGAGAGGTCTTCCATGCTCTTATTAGGGTGACTTTTGAAGAAACTCTGTGCAGGTAAGGATGCAGGTGAACAAATGGACAAAGGTATACCATGAGAAAGGGAAACAGTTCAGAGCAGCAGAAGAGGCCCAGGAAATCAGAAAATATAATCCTCTTAGAAACACTAAGGGCTCATTTCAGATCAAAATCAGCTTACACCGGGGTATTAGCAAAGACATTTACAAAAGAGGTTCTTTGGTGGAATTTTCAAAACACCATGAACTTGGCTGCATTTGAAACTAATATCTCAAGAGCCCCTTGGATTTCTAGAGAGGCACCAAATAGGATTTTTTTTTTTTCCTAAGAACCTGCACAGGATTTATTATTAATGTGTGTGTGGGTCACACTGTACTCAGCATTCCACACAAACCTGCAAAGAAAGAAGCACTCCGGGTGAGCCGGAGCGGTCCTCCTTCAGCTACGCCCTGCAGCAGTTTGCTGCTGCATGCCTGCAGCAGACCTGGAGACAGAAACACACACAAGAGGGCAAACAGAGTACACACACAAAAATAAACACAGATTAAAGATAATGCAAAAAAAAAGACAAAAAACAAAAAAAACAAAACCCAGCACAACAAACTCAATATAAAGCAAAACACACACCCGCCATACTGGTATTCAGAAAGAGAGAGCCCAGTTACGTGGTGGATTTTACCTAGGTTACTCCCAGTACGACAAGGACCCAAATTATTCTGATTTGTGTTCAGTTTTCCCAAATTAGGATCTTGATGGATATATTCAAAGCTGTCTTGCAAGCTAAATCCAGAGAGGGGAAGGAAGGGAGGGAGAGAGAAAAAAAAAAAAAAAAATCAAGAGACAAATAAAGCTGTTTTCTAACAAACTTTCAAATATAGACAACTTACCAGCTGCCCAGACTTTTCTTTACAAATGAATAAAGTCTCACATCTAACAAAGGAAACCAAACTTTAGGGGAATTTGCTGGAGGAAAAGACAAGAAAAGCTTTCTGGAGGCAGTCCAGACTATAAAACTAAACAATGCTTTCCTATCTGTTTCACGTGATGTAATGGTGCATGGAACTCTACAAATTTTGCTCTGGTGACTGATAGCTAGGATACTGCTCTTTGCCTCTGAATTGTGCTTTAGTAACTGATACCTAAGATGTTGCCATTCATTTCAAGGATAATTTCACATAAACCTTCAAAATAAAATTCATCTTAACTCTTAGTTCTTGTTAACATTTTGTTAACATTCTTGTTAACATCTACAAGCAATTAGGCAACTTTTTTCAGGAGAACAGAAATTAGGATTCCTTAGGAATTTGACTTCACAACATCTAAAAAGTTAGTTACTCACAAACAGAAATGTGAGAGAAGCAGATTTTAATAATTTACTTATTTATTAACCAGTAACATAAACATCAAGACTTTGAGGAAAATACAGCATAGTGAGGCCAAAATCATTTTTACTTAAATTTGAGCTCAGTATTCTATAATAGGGAATTAGTGTAATAACTGAAAGAGTCTAAAGAAGAATATCTCACAAGAAAAAAAAAATCAATTCCCATAACTGGCTTAAGTCATGCCAGTCCAATGTTAAATGCTCAAACAAGTTAAATTCAGAGGCCCCTGGGTGGCTCAGTGGGTTAAGCATCTGCCATCGGCTCAGGTCATGATCCCAAGGTCCTGGGATCAAGTCCAGCATCAGGCTCCTTGCTCAGTGAGAAGCCTGCTTCTTCTTCTGCCTGCTGCTAACCCTGCTTGTGCTCTCTCTCTCTGGAAAATGAATACATAAAAGCTTTAAAAAAAAAAAAAACCTACCAAAGTATAACAAATGTTTTGCTTTATTCAAAAATGAAGCATATGAACTATTTCTGCTTAAAAAATTTGAAATATATGAACAAATGTACCAGCATGAGAGTTAAGTTAGACACATCAGTATTCTTAGTCTACTCAGAAGTGTAAAATTAGAGGAGGACAAAACTCAGAGGAGTGAAGATCAGAACAGAACATGGCCCAAATAACCACGAATCCCAGAGGCTACACTGATGGCTGAAGAGACGGTGAGCAAGTAAGACCCATCCTGTCATACACATGCCTAGGGGCCTGGAAAAACTGATTACGTACTTCATTCCTTTAGAAATAAGTTAACAAACTAAGTAACCAACAAGTTTTTTTTTTTTTTTTTTTTTCAAGATAAAATAATGTTGGAAAATAAACAGTCATTTGTCTTTAAGACCACCTGATAAAGTCAAAGGCCTTTTCATACTCATTATGTCCAGGAAAAGGGCCACTTTTAAAATCCCTTTGTTAATGTGGACTCTCCCCACTTATCATTTCAAAAGAACTTATGGCCCTGGAAGAAGTACTTTATCCAGAAATAGCCACTTAAAAAAGTGGAGGCAAGGGTGAAAGACAGGTACAAAATCCCATACTTACTTATTTGTACTCCCACAGAAGCTGCCCATTCTAGCAGAGAAAACCTTACTAATCATCAGTTGTGGAGGAGAACTGGAAGAAAACAAAAAAAAAGGGAGGGAATGCATTTTTGAATTAAAAAGCCAGTAACACCATTCCATTTCTCACAATTAGTAGAAAAAGACGCTTGAACTCACCGGATATAGTGTATCTTTAAAGTGGAGCCTTTGTAACTCATGGCGACTGAGCCAAACATCATTTCCCCCAGCATGTTGACATCAGAAGCTGGTCTGGTGTACTGTCACACATGACAGAGACCAAAATCAAAGTTAGTACGTGGCACAATGTGATGTGTAATGCAACAGAAAATAACGTTTATTGATCTATAGGTCAATCTTTAGTGTAGCAGTAACTAAAACTGTTTCTCAAGGCAGAAACTGACCATTTTAATCCATAATGGCGATTGACTATTTTTCCCCAAATTACTACTTATGTTCATAATTTCATCTTTACGCACAATATCTCCATACAGGATCCCAGTGTCTCAGCAGGGGTCATTTTTAACCTTGTTATGAAAAACAAAGATTTTGCATTATCTCTATTTATAAAGTATAGAGAGAAAGATTAAGTTCTGGGGAAAAAAAAAAGAAAACAGGGTAACTCTTATCTTGGTACCAAAATATATCCTGAAAAGAAACACCATTCAATACTATTCACCTAAATAATTAACAGTGTTGAATGAAAATGCCAGTTGGCACCCTCTTTGTGAGGGTCCAAAAGGTAACGGACAGTCTGATACCTTGAAAGTTTTACCAAAAAATATTTCAAAAATATCTGACCCCTCTAGCTTCTGATGAGTCTTTCTTGTCATCCAAAAGGGTGGCCTGAGCTACCTCTAAATTTGCCTCATCTACTCAAATTGTCCTAGGATGGCCTCTGCCTTCCTGTCAAATCCAGTGCACTTTCCAGTTTGCTTTCTCTCTTAAACATCTCTCTTAAACATCTCTCTCTTAAACATCTCTCACAGTAGCTGATGATTTTAACTACCCCACCTTTTTTGAATCTCTTCTTTCTTAGGTCATCCCTTGAGCAGGGTTTTCTCTCAGAGGGCACTCCTACTCACCGTCTGCACTCTCAACCACTCTTGGAATTTTGGTTATTCTTTACATAGAAATACCTCCCACATCTTTATCTGTAGGCCCAGACCTTTCCCTTAACTCTAGAATCCTATGTCCAAATGCACTCGTTCACATATCATAACAATACATTATTACATATCATATATAATAAGTCATATGTAACATGTATATTATCATATACGTATAATGATAATGTATAACTATAATAAGCCGCAGGCACCCCAGCACAGCCTGACCAAGACAAAACAAGCATCTCTCTCTGACCCAGCCCACACAGCCCTGGATTCTCTGCTAGTACGCTTTCCACCTAAGCAGAAACATAAGAATTGTTCTTAACATTCCCTTCTCAATCTCTTTTTTAAACTACAAATCCACACACACATATAGATACACACAAGTACATGCACACACAAATGCACATATGCATACCTACTTAGACATGTTTGCAGAGAAGGAAAGAAAAACATACATCTATCAGCCTCGTTTAACTAGGCTCCTCTCTGTTTGGTTATGGCTCACGCCAACCTCTTCTCACTCCATCCAGACAGAAACCAACTGTCTTTCACATTTTTTATTAATAACTTCCACCCACCACCTCCATTTTATAATCTGCTTTTTCCTGGGGTACAAGGTCTACATGACAATTGTAATTCTCGACGAACTGAAAATTTCACTGTATACTTTTTAAAACACAAACTGCCTTGAGACCCAGGAGCACTGTGAAATAAGGGCAAACGCATGGCCCAAATCCTGAACATGAAATTAACCAAGTTCTATAGACCAGTGGTTGCTGGCAATTTACCTGGCTTAGCTTTTCCAGCAACATGGAAAATTCCACGAGTCAAAAACAAATCTGATACATCCTCCATCAGTTTACACCCTCTCGCTCTTCAGTATTCACGAAACATTTATTCCCTTATGTCTAGTACGCCAGTATTTTTCAATAACCCTAATCCCTATCCTCTACTTCCTTACACACACACAACCACACACACACGTGTGCGCGCTACCAGCCCTGTATCTCTCACACTCAAGTTACATCCAAAAACGGTTCTCTTTCTCCTACTGGCAAGTGCTATTTTCTTAGGATGCCCATATACATTCCCAGAATCCTTGAAATTCTCATAACAAAACTGGAAAATCTGTGCTTCTTAATCAGGTTCTGGCAACAAAGGAAGCAAAACAAAAGGGTTTACCTCGTTAGCAATATTTCATCCTCACTCAGTATGTATTATACTGGGTCACCTCCACTAAATTATAGTTTTTATCAAGAGACCAAAACCAAAGTGTGAAAACAGCATGGACATGAAACCTCTAAGGGCACGTTTTTGAACACTTAGGCTCATGTTCCCGGAGAAGCAACCTCAAGCAGGTATTCTTCCCTGTGGAGAAGTAACAGTGAGTGGCCTCAGCCCCAGGGCTATCAGGCACGGCAGGGACAGCTTTACCTGGTACTTTGGGAGCTGCTCCTTGGCGAGCTGTAGCGATCCCCCGGAAGAACTGTGGGGTGAGATGCTGCCGCCGCCACTGCTGCCGCTGCCCTGACAGCACTTGGCTGACAGTTTAACAGGGACATCCTCTGTTTTCTGGGGTGACAGACAGGCAAGATAAGGTACTGCTAAGTGTATCGGGCTCCCACAGCCTGTGCTTCACTGGGAATTTCTTTGCTAAATCACTCTGTTATGTTGTGCCTAAGTTGCACTGAAAACCACAGGCTTTTTTCCCCTTGCTTGCGGAGGACAAAAATGTGGTTCCTGAGAGTCTGTAATGTCTGGGAGGGAGGCATGATGAAGAGAGGAAACTGGACAGAAGACGAGGCTGGTGTAGTGTGTAGTGTGACTAGTCTCAAGTAATTCAACTGTTATTTGTTTCAATTCATATCTTGAACCAGTAGTCTCTGTTCGGGATAGTGAGGATCTGTTAGTACTGTGGAGAGTCATAATCTATAAAATTGACGTGGAGAAAGAAAGTGCTTCAACTTTAAAACGTTACCAGGCAAACAGAACTAAGTAAGAAAGCAAAATTGCTAATTTGGAAAGTCTGAGTTTGTATTTTTAATGACACACTTTCTCTAGCACTGCTTTAAAGGTAACAGCAGAGAAAATCATGAGGTCGAATTTGTGAAAGATGAACCAAAACTCTGAAACAGGAGCTTCTGTGAATTATACATCATGTGATGGAAAAGTGGCCTCTAAAGGTTAGGGGTAACAGAAGATTATCTACTATATAGTCCCTAAATAGAGTTCACTGCTAATTTTATGACAGTGACATAAGGTATAAAGATACACCTTTATTAATTTCGCCTTTCCTCCTACACCAAAATATATTACTTCCTACAGAAGCGTCCTGTGCCATCTATGATAAGTTGTTTCTATTCTGTTGGAGTCTTACTTGCTTTTTTGTGTGCAGCTTTTGCTTGGAAAAACATGAATGCAACTGCAGCTTATCTAATCTCCAATGTGACAGTCACACTGGTGGTCTAATGCAAATGCCTGCAGTCATGTGCTTGATACAAACTCATGACGTTTTGTGCTTGCCCAGGGAATGGGGGGCTGAAAATGGGAAAAGACTATAAGGAAAACACAAACTGTGCCGGTCCATAATAGCCACTCTAGCAGTGATGGCACTCAAAATCATACCTAGTTATTCTCAGGTATCGGGCACTCCTTCAACACCCTCTTCAGCTCTAGCTGTTACTTAATGCCACTTATACCAGAAACACAGCCCCTCAGAGAGCCTAAAGTGACACTAAGTCCACACTTGCCTCACACACTGTTCGACCCCCCTGGCTGGGGTACAACATACTAAGCATCTATAATTGGAGATAATAACTGGTACAGTGAATAGAGCACTTTTTTTTTTTTTTTTTGACTCTGTAGCCTTGGGCAAGTTACAAAACCTCTCTGGCCCTACATGCCTTTTTGATTAAATGAGTACGTCCAGGCTCCAGTGTTATCACTGCTCCGATATACCAAAATTCCCGTTCATTTTGAAAACCCATGAGAACTTTTTCCTTCTACCTGTTACCACCATTAGATGCCCTAGTGATGGCGTGCAGGTGTTCTAACTAAACTACTTGTGCAGGGGCGCCTGGGTGGCTCAGTGGGTTAAAGCCTCTGCCTTTGGCTCAGGTCATGATCCCAGGGTCCTGGAATCGAGCCCCACATTGGGCTCTCTGCTCAGTGGGGAGCCTGCTTCCTCCTCTCTCTCTGCCTACTTGTGATCTCTGCCTGTCAAATAAATAAATAAAATCTTAAAAAATATATATATTTTTTTAAAAAATATAAATAAATATAAAATATTTTAAAATATATATATTTTAAAAATATATACATATATGTCTGTGTGTGTGTGTGTGTGTGTATGTATATATATATATATATATATATATATATATATATATATATATATACATATTTATTTTTTTATTTTTAATTTAAAAAACAAACTACCTATGCAGGGCTTCAGGGAAATAGGAAACGATGTGGAAAAATCAAAGGGAAACCATGGCCTGTCCACCAAAGGGTCAAGGGCTGGCTCACTATAACTTTGATACAAATCTACCATTAAAGCCTACAGGTGAATCACCTGAGAGATCCCTGCCCCTCCCGCACCCCCAACCTAACAAACCCAACAACTACTGTAATGATTAGCTACCTGGCAGACTTCCACTTTAAAGCACTATGGAATCTACCCAGCTCAACTGCCTCTAGCCAAATACGTCCTTCCTGCAGAAATGATCTTTATCAAAAACAGGAAAAGAGCCCCTGGGCCCTGATGAAACAAAGACCGTGAAATAAACTATTCATTTACTTAGCTACACATTCTATGAACTGCCAGAATTTGGTCAGTATGGATAGCAAGGTACTGAACATGAAAAGAATGAAAAGTCTAAAGGCAACAACTTAGAGGTACCCCGGGCTGATGTCCAGAAGACTCAGGAGGTCTGGACTCTATGCCTCACCTGGACACATGACCTTACCTTTCCTGTTCTGGCTACAAGGGATCAAGGGCTCTTATGTCCTCACTTTACCCATCCCAGATCTCCCCACACCCCATCCCAAAACACCATCACCCCCACCCTGCTCGCCACTAAAAACAGGAAATAAATAAAGCTTCCTTGGTCAGGTGGGTTTGAGAAGCCCTCCCTTTTGAAGATAAAAGTGTATGTTAGCATACTGAAGAGCCCTATGGTAAGGAAAGCTATTTAATTTTGTTTAACCTCATGCAATGTAATACCTCTTATTATCTATGAGAAATACTAGACAGAATGATCTATTAACTTCCCTTAAGGCTAACACTTTATGAATTTTAGAGTTCTCAGTTTTCCTATTACACAGCACATGTTTGGTATCCAAATCCTACTGCATTGCAACTTTACCTCTAGTAACATTTATAGTACAAAGCTGAGCATCTGTCATGATTCCTTGCTAACAGTCTCACCTGTGTATATTAATAAGAATACAAATGCAGCAGGGCGGGGTGGTGGAGAGCCTTTGTTTATGTTTCTTCTGAACCATTACTGGTACTGTACAATACAGCCCAAAGAGAAGATAGTGAATTAATAAATGACTGCTCAGAGAGGTGGTTAACAGCACAAATAAAAAAGATGAAAGCAAATCTGCATTTCATACCTGAGTTGCCACCTCTTCAATCTTGTGAACCGCTTTAGAATCAAACAAGACTTGTCTGCCCCTCCTTTCACAGTCCTGGTAAACTATCAGGCGGATCTCATTCAGGTCACACTCCGAACATGACCAGCTGTGGATTCAAAAGGGAGAAATGAGTTATGTAACGTACAACACTTGGAATGATCACGGAGAGTAAGTTTCCCAGTCAATGTGTCTAAGGGCATCAGAGGGCCACAAGGGTGCAGAGATTATAACCCCTTCGCACCTAGGGGGCAGACAGCCTCGCCTGTGGCCTCAAAGGGGCCCTACAAATATTGCCAAATGGACATGACAAAGGTTGGGGAAAATGCTGTAAATAATAAATCACTGGAGAGAAAGCATCTCCTTCCAAAAAATCACGAGGATGTGGAGAGAATGCTAAATTTGGATGCCTGCATTCTGGGGATGGCATACCTGATGTATAGGAGTGTTCAAGCTTCTGTGTTACTAGCCAGGGAGCCATTTGGAGTGAGTGGGACCTTTTCCCTTCCTCTCCCACACACCCAGGCTCAGGTAAAATTGAGTGGAATTATAGATCCTAAAATTCAGGATTTTCCTCTATTATAGCTGGCTCTGATACAGAAGTTTTGACAACCAGGTGCAGGGGCACCTGGGTGGTTCAGTCGATTAAGCATTTGCCTTCAGCTCAGGTCATGATCCTAGGATCGAGTCTGGGATAAAGTCCCATCTCAGGCTCCCTGATAACTGGGGAGTCTGCTTCTCCGTCCACCCCTCCCCTGCTTATGTTCTCTCTCTCTCAAATAAATAAAATCTTAAAAAAAGAAATCAAGTGCATCACTGTAGGGAATTTGAATTGCTAACAATAATAATCAGCAATAAAGGAAGCATGGCTTATTCCTCTTAAAAAGAAAACTACAGACCAAAAATGGTGTCATTTAAGCCAAGTTACTAAACCAGGACTTAACACCTAACTTAACTACAGTTTCAACCTCCCCTAGAGGTTAACCTGTCATCACTAGGCCTTTTCCAGGCCTAAAAGAAGATGAGGTTATGTGCCTGATAAGACCCTTGTCCTTCCTCCTCAGGGAAAATGACCTAGCCTGAAACAATCCTTTCTTTTCTTTTGCTGTTAACTCCTTGCTCCATCCTCCTCCCTGTAAAAATCGTCCATTCTGTACAACTCCTCAGAGCACCCCTCTACTTGCTGGAGGGGATGCTGCCCCACTCAGGAACTGCTTAATAGAGCCAATGAGAACTTCAAATTTACTTGGTTTAATTTTGTCCTTTAACATTCCTAAGCAAACCAAAAGTTGCTGGGATAAAATTGCTCTAAACATAAGTCTGTTTTTGAGTAATGAATGAAATGAGAACGTGAGACTATAAAAAGGGTAATCATTTAAAATGCACTGCTTTGGGGCTCCTGGCTGGCTCAGGTGGTAGAGTCTGCAACTCTTGATCTCCAGGTTGTGAGTGCAGGCCCCATGCTAGGCACAGAGCTTACTTTTAAAAAATTTAAAAAATGAATAAATATAAAATGCACTGCTTTGGATTATTTTCAGTTATTAGTCTGTTAATCCACTTAACACATACTTGAGTGCCTACTATGATTCAGGCACTGTGGTCCTGATGCTAGATATTCAGCAGTTAACTAAACAGATCTGGTCCCTGCTCTCACAGAGAACACGGTTTAGCGGGGAATACTGAGCTAATAATATATGAATGTGTAATTACAGATTGTCCTAAGTGCATAAAGGGGAAGGAGTCTCATATTTTCAGATCTGAGGAACAGGGAAATCCCTAAGTATTTAAGGAAGTGAAGCAGGGTTCTGGCTGGCTCATTTGGTAGAACATGTGACTCTTGATCTTGGGGTCTTGAGTTTAAGCCACATGTTGGGTGTAGAGCCTAATAAGAAAGCAAAAAAACAAAAAACAAAAAACAAAACAGACAGAGGATTTAAGGGACTAACATTTAAACAGGGCTTGAAGGAGTAAGAGTTAAAGAAATAAAGCGTGAGGGGCATCTAGGTGGCTCAGTCGGTTAAGCATCTGCTTTTGGCTCAGGTCATGATCCCAGGGTCCTGGGATTGAGCCCCGAGTTGGGCTCCCTGCTCAGCGGGAAGTCTGCCTCTCCTTCTGCCCCTCCCTTTGCTCGTGCTCTCTCTCTCAAATAAATAAATAAAATCTTAAAAAAAAAGTGTGAGAATGAAGAACAGGGTAGGAAGAGGGAAGGACATGGTAAAATATAACACTGATATAGAAGAGACAGAAAAAAAAAAAAAGCAGAGAAGTAGAGCTCAAGAGGTAGGCTGGGAAGACAGGCAGGAGCCAAGATCATACCCTAAGTGCAATGAGAGGCCAAGATGAACAAACAAAGGCTGATAAGCTCGGGTCTATACTTAAAAAAAAAAAAAAAAAAAAAAAAAAAATTCAACCTAGCTCCTCTAAGGAAAACAGAGGTGGGGGAGATCAAGACTGGAAGCAAGAGGACCAGACAGAATTTCTTATGAGTTCCCTTGTCAGGAAGGTGAGGACAGCAACTGAGGTGGAGGAAGCAAACACATGCATGGTAAGTGCTCCAAAATGTTACTAATTACTTAAGAGAATTGTTAATGGTACAATTAAAAAAAAAAACTGATACAGTGTCTGGTAGCCAACCACAAATTGTACATTATTGGCTCTTTCCTTTTTCAGTGATAGTTAATATTGAATATATTCTTTCAAGGTAGCAGATTAGTTTTCTTAAATTCCAGCACCAAAAAATATGAAGTTCTTATAACAACCTATGTTCTAAACTACCATGTCCAGCACCCCTTCCTCCTGATTTTGATAACATGGCCAAGTTTATTTTGGAAATCATTTTCTTCTCAGTCCACAAGTCGTCTGTGATCCAGGTCTGGCCAATCAGACCCCCAGCTAGGCTGTGAAAGCCAGTCCCCACACTTCGTTGCTTGGCTGGCGGATGATACCCTAGAGTTGATGGTGCCTGCTTTTTGTCGTTATGAGGTGAGAACCTATCTCTGAAAATGAAGTCAGTGTGGAGGAAAGAGAGGTGAGCAATGGGGAGAGACAGATTCTTGTTGGCAATCGAAGCTAGCTGCTTCTGAGTGAGCACTCTTCCTGAAGTTAGTTTTCTATCACTTAAAACCCAAACAGTCCTGGTGACTGTGCCCCAAACCACTAAATTTTAAAATTACACAAAGTCATTAATAATGCCTCTGTGGGGAGCCTGGCTGGCTCAGTCAGTACAGCATGCAACTCTTGATCTTGGTGTTATAAGTTCAAGCCTTATGCTGAATGTAGGGACTACTTAAAAAAAAAAATCTTAAAAAAATAGCCTCCAATAGTACACAAGCTAAAGTTATTAAAAGTGAGAAAGCAAGGAGGGTTTAATTGTCTTTTTTCTTGTTCGACCTGTTTTGCCCCAGCAATTACACTTCACCAAAACAGCTTTCTAATTTAAGAAGTTGTTCAATCTTTTTTTTTTTTGAGAGGTAGCCATGACTCAAATATCCAATAATGACCATAACACCTTATTAAATGTTTCATGCTATTTTTCAAATTTTAAAAGAATGGAAATAAAGATACGGAAGGGGAAAGTAAATATGTTGGATTGTCTAATTTTTTGACCCAAATAACTTAAAAAAGTATGTTTTATAAACTGTAAAGCAAACTACACTCTCCTTCCATATGAATATTTTATTTAATACCTAATTAAATTCTTGTCAGCTGTCATTACTAATATCAGTGGAGAAAATTACAGTTGAGAAATTTGACAGAGAAAATACAGGCAGGACAAAGGAGATATACCGAATGCTTCAAAGTAAGATGGGCCTAGGATCAAATCTCAGCTCTGCCTCCCACTGGTGTGACAGCCTTGGGCAAGTCCCCCCAGGCAGCACTAGTGGGGCCTGGTGTAAAGATTAAAGGAGATAATCTATGGAAATCTCCCAGCGCACTGTCAGCTCTTTCCCCTACCATCCTCCATATACAGAGGCTTGGGTTAGTCATCATCACATGCCACATCTATCTTCTGCGTGTCCACATTCCCTTCAATACTCCACCAAAAGTTTTTGTGGGGCTTCTGTGAGTACCAACCATAGTTCCTGGTGTTTCACTGAGGGCAACCCTGCATGACTCCAAGAATTATGAAAAAATATGCCTTGGGCTTTTGCCTTAAGATATCTATTTGAAAGATGTTTATTCTAATCAGAACTACCTCATTTCTTTGCTTTGGTTGAAAGCAAGGAGAGAACACTGGTCCCTGGTACAATTTGTCTACTCTATGACTGCAGCTGTTGGACTGTAGGCACAACAAAATAAGATGGTTTATCTACCTTTTCTTACTGTAAAACTTAAACAAAAGGACTTAGATGGACCCTTTTCAGTTTTAAGATTCCATGATGCTAAGATCTGCCAGGGAATGAAACCAGATCTTATTTCTGGAACTACTCAAGGGCAGGAAGAAAGTGACCAAAGTCTAAATTACTTAACCTGAAAGGTGACAAGCAACAGTTCAAAGGAGTTAAGTACAGAAAACAGAATTCTCTTCAAAATATATATAACCCCCCCAAATAAATAAATAAAATAAAAAATATATATAACCCATCTGAAACTAATGATGTACTATATGTTGGCTAATTGAATTTAAATTTAAAAAGTAAAAATAAAATACATAGAACCATGTGTTGTGGGTTGAATCTTGTCCCCTCAATTCCTCATTCTCACACCTGGGACTATGACCTTGTTTGGAAACAGGGTCTTTGAAGATGTAATCAGGTTAAGATGAAATCAAACTAGATTAGGATGGGCTTTAATCCAACAACTGGTGTCCTCATAAGGGGAGGGAAATCTGGACACAGACACGGAGGGAAGGTGACAGATGACAGACACAGAGGGAAGGTGATGGATGACAGACAGATTGTGGAGTTACGCTGCTACAATCCAAGGAAAGCCAAAGAAGGCTGGCACTCAGAGGGGATACAGTAAGTAAGAACTGGATAAGTCCTTATTCTCAATGAATTTAAAATCCAGAAGACACAATTATATAGGAAACTACATGAAAATAAAAAGACAAGGCAGAATACAGAAAGCAAGAGGGAAAAAAAAACAGGAAAAAGTTCCCAGAAGCAG